TTGAGAATAGTTGTCAACTATTCTCCGTATCGATTTAGTTGGATTAACTAGCTCTCTCCTAGACGCTGGGAGGAGGGCACAGCAAGCAGTGGGCGGGTGCAATAGCCAGCCTGCTTTTGGCTATTGCAATTAGAAATGGCCAATAGCGGACTGGCTTTTGCACCAGCCCACTACCTGCCGTCTGCGGAATCTTGCCACTGGCTGCTGTCATTTACTGGCTGAAGCTATTCAAGCGCCATGTGCTTACATTACAATTATTTAATACAAAAAGGTGGGAAGGAAGTCATTTTCAGTTTGGCCTTGACAAATTCTGCTGTGGGGCGGTGCGTTGCAGTGCCATTCATTTCAGTGGACCCCAAGCGCGCCTCCCACCCACAGTGTAATCGCCTGCATTGGAACGCACGGTACCGCAATTACGCGTTCCAATGCAGTGCGATTGCAAAAAATTGTTCATACAGTTTTATTCTGAAGTAAACTTTGTAGCACTGCCTTTGTGTATTTTAAATTTTCTTTATCCGATTAATCGACAAAATAATCAGCCAACTAATCGATTATGAAAATAATTATTAGTTGCAGCCCTATACAGGTTGAGGGCCCAGTCACACCAAGAGTGCGTTCGGCCTCTGGAACGCACTGAAATGCAACCCGGCTGGCTCACTTTGTTTTGGGCGGGAGGAGGCTCGGCGGTGCATTGAAGTCAATGGCACTGCAGCCGCGCCCCCGCACAGCTAACACCCCCTCCCGCGTGATGGCCACCCGACCACGTGGAACATTAATGCCTGCATTCCGGTCCAGTGCGATCTGCAAAAATGCTGCATGCACTACTAATGTGCCACGCGTTTGGATGCTGGTGGTCACACTGCGGTTCCATTAACTTCAGTGCACCACCACAAACCCTCCCGCCCCAAAACAGAGGCCGCACGCACACTTTATGTTGTGACTGGGCCCTGAATGTTCGGATGAGATATGTTGTATAACTGTGTGTACAAAAATCTACCAATGTATTGCCAGCTTTAGTATATGTATGCATGTGAGATGGGGACTTTAGATTGTAAGCTCCTTGAGGGAAGGGACTTATGTGAATGTGCAGTGTGTAAATAGCTGCGTAAATTATTGGCGCTATTTAAGTGCATGGAATAGGTTTGATCCCAAGCTAAATTAGTGGATTAACACAGTGTGCCAGAAACCATGAAACTAACACTGAACTATATGTATTCAATTGTATTGTAAAAGAAAAAAAAAAACATTTATAACTCTATAATTTGATCTTTTATATTAAAATTTTTACTAAAATCATTCACTTTTATGAGATTTCTGTCTGGCAGATATATATATATATATATTTGACAGACATAAATATGCAATATAAATGTATTCTATGCTCAGATGTATGTCAGAATTGCAGCACAGCAAGTTCATGTTTGTGTTTGGAAATTCCTGAATGGGGTCATAGTTGCAGGGAAATTGTGCAATGTCTTGTATGACTTAGTCACATGCCCCATGTTTCATCCCTTTTAACCCTTTTGCTTCCTGCACCTTTTTTTTTCTTTTTCATTTTGCATGCATACTAAAATATACTTTTTTTTTTTTTCTACATGAACACACTTGTAACCCCAAACTGTTAGCTTCTGCTTTCAGGAAATATATATTTGCTGAATTGGTCCAAATTCAATCTGCCTAGCCCAGTTTTCTCTGGCCACACTACTCGGATTCACCTACTCTTCCCTCTCCAAAACTTAAAGGGTTTCTAAACCCTCAGCTTTTTTTGCACATATCTACTGCTAGCAAGCAGTAGATCTATACAAAACGTTTTTTAAAAAAACGCTTTAACAGCGGTTTAAACTTGTATCTTCCCTGCGCGCTCCCGTCCGAAAATGTGAAACCGCTCCAGCGGCCGCAAAGCATCTTGGGGCGGACGCATGCGCAGTTCACATTTTCGGCTGTGTCGCGAGGAGAGACACAAGGTAAGTCTATGGACACGCTGGAGAGAAGGCTGAAAACTACAGGAAAGAAGCCTTTAATGTCACTTTAGAGCCAGTTACTCTCCTTGAGATAAGACAGAAAGTAAGCGCTGAACACGGGACAGCTCTGAATTTCTGACATGACCAACAGTTAAACTATTGAAAGCATTTTGTTATTTTTGCTCAACAAGGGCAAAAAATATTTAGCAGACCAAATGGGAGCAAATAAGAGAAGTTCATTGATAGAGTTTACATGGTAAATGTTATTTAACAGGATTGTGCTTGATTGCTCACCTGTGTAACCGGTACTTCAGCCGGCCTTCTGACAGCTCTAAAGCAGAAAGCGCTGAGAGTGTGTTGGGGGGAGGGGGCGGCCAGCATTACTTTCAGAGGTGGGTACAAGTGATTGGGCAGCTACAGCTACCCAGCTCACTTCTTGTACCTAAAAGTCCTCCACCCGCCAAGATCATGGCTGCAACAGCAGCAGCCATGATCTTATATGATCACTTCAAGACCAAAATATACAGGTACATCCTATGGTTCTGAAGTGGTTAAAGGAAATTTGTTGTGTTGCATGCTTTTCTTTTTATTGTGGTCAAGACTAAAAAAACATTCCAAAATTATTTTTAGCCAGATAAATGTGAATTATTAATTCTGAATGTCATGATGGGAATTGATCACAACTGGAGCAAACAAAATCTGGAGCAGCTGTGCATGGCAACCAATCAGCTTCTCTGTTTCATTTTCAAATCTTAACTGAACAAACTGAAGAGTGAAGCTGATTGGCTGCCATGCACAGCTGCTCCAGAATTTGTCTGCTCCAGTTTTGATAAATTCCCCCCAATGTATTTTCATTTCTAGGCAACAGTTAGGCTCCTTTTAAACACCTGTCTGGTCTTAGCTGCTCTGCTGTTTGAAAGGGGGGGCCCTGTTTATAGAGCTCAGCAGCTCAAGCTCAGATTTACACACAATTGAATAGGTGACTTATGTCACTTCCCCCTACCTGAATGTCTGTTTAGACAGCTTTGTATGAGGTTTAAATGAGAGTCTGAAGGCAAACGTCTTCTGCTGCGCTCTGTGATCATTATGGATACACCCTGTATTATGTTTTGATTTGTGAAACAAATATTTTTAACATCTAGTAAAAACAGATCTAAAACAGTTTAACAATGTTGACCCAAAATCAATCTAACATTCTCATTTGATAGCTGGTTTATGTCTGACTCCAGTTTCCTGCATTTTAGTAGAGTAGACTCTTGTTTGAGTAAAGTAAAATATGAATACATCAGTGTTGTTTAAACCAAAGGCATTGTATTGACGTGTTACAGAATCATTTCTCCGGTTAGTTTAATGGGGACCCAGTAAACGTGTATAAACAAATTCAGGCTGTGTTTACAAGGATCAAAGAGGCAAATAAATGTTCTTATTACCAAGAATTGTTTTTGTTAGTAACCCTTTCATTTTTTGTCAATGTTTATTTTATTTCTGCATAATTATACTTGCCTCTCTACCCAAAACATTTGTTGAAGAGAATTGAAAGTCCATCAGGTTTTTAATGTTGCCTCTGTTCCTGTTTTGGAAGATTTCAATCCTACTTCCTGTGCCAGTGACAAGGCAGAAAGTGAGTAGAACCTGCCCCAAGGTAAGGGAAAATACTATCTGATGGCTGTCACCAGAACAGGTTCTTCCAGTAGAAGATATCTTCTCTATTCTTGTCTTGGTGACAACTGTAAGATGTTTGATTTCCCCTCATTTTCTGCTGTACTGACTTGTACTAATAGTAAGGGTTGTTCTTCTCAGCAGGAACACAGACCGCAATTAAAATATGAGAGGTTCTAAATTTTCGCTTCAGGGAGTACATCCTCGATTGGCACAGGGACGCGGGGAGAAGAAGTAAGGAGGAGCAGGTGTGGGCGATGACAGCAGCAATTGTACAGCGCAATGCAGAATACCACCAGCTATAATGTACTATTGCTTGGTTTTGTAGTGCTCTATAGCTGGTGGTATTCTGCATTGTTTTGTATAGCGGACTACAAAACCCAGCAATAGTACATTATACAGTGCAATGCAGAATACAGCCAGCTATAGAGGACTACAAAACCAAGCAATAGTACATTATAGCTGGTGGTATTCTGCATTGTTTTGTATAGCGGACTACAAAACCCAGCAATAGTACAGCGCAATGCAGAATACCGCCAGCTATAATGTACTATTGCTGGGATTTGTTGTATTCCTCCTATAGCTGGTGCCATTCTGCATTCATTTCTGTATAATTTTACACTTTACATTTCACTATATTGCACACTGCAAACTCAATACAAACTAGTAGTCCCATCACTGGAGCCATTTTTTAAAATGTATATTACTTTTTATCCCATTAATCGAACTTAATAATCGGCTAACTAATCGATTTTTAAAATAATCGTTAGCTGCAGCTCTAGACAAGTATGGCTGGTTTAAGTCCCCCTGATCATCCACCCTCAGACATGAGATTAAACGTAAAGTGAAAGGTGGGCCGGAGTTGTGACAAGTGGGCAGCGCTGGCCGAGGACAGGCTGAATAAACCACATCAACACACCACACTACTATTTGCCGGTTAATGGCAGTGCTAACATTGGCTGCAAGAAAACAGTAATGCGACCGGCTGACTGTTCATAAAAACAGGCTGCAGTGATTGGTTGTCTTCACAGGAAATGGGAGCATTTTCAATGAATAAAGGCAAAATATTCTTTCATTTTATGAAGCATAGGCTAAAGCTAAAAAGAAGACCTGATCAACAATAGGTATCCCATATTACAACTGAATTGTACTTTTTCTTTTTTTTTTTCCCCCATCCCGGAGTTCAGCTTTACATCTGAATTGTCTAGATTTGTGACAGGTTTACTTTGGTTCCTGTGTTTTTCTTGCAGCATGGACTGCAATAGTAAACTAGTAGCATGAGACCTGCGTGTGCTGCATGAGAAGCTTCCTCTTGATATTAGGACCAATAGTCTCACTGTTTCTTGCTGGCATGACTCTGATTCTATTCTGTTGTTCTAGGTGGCTGCTGTGGCTCCGATTCTAAACAGTATGTTCATGGAGGATGGGCCTGGGCTTGGTGGTGCATCTCCGATACCCAGAAGTGAGTAACTTAGATTTAAGTCAGTGTCTGCAAAACCCGCAGAGTGAGTGTGCCTTGTTTATTGCATGTTACTTTGCTTTACAATTATTTTAGAGGTGCAAACTTTCATGCAACTGCATAGATATCTAAAAAAAAAAGTGCATTGTCCTTTGTTAGACTGAGTTATGTTTTTAAATTTTTTATCAAAACTCCTAATTTTGAATTTATCAGTAAAGTAAGTTTTGCACCTTTAAAACTATGCCAAGTATTTAATTGCATGTACTAGGTCGTCTCATGATAGAAAATATGTTACTGTGTTTTATAAAGATTGAAGGCAAGGCAACACTTGGGTACCCATTTAAATCGATTTTAAAACTTGATGTGATGTCTTTACAACAGATTTTTGATCATGTTTTCAAATGGGACACATAGCCTTGGTTGATGGGCTGCATTGTTAGTTAAATATCATAGGAAAAGACTTTCTGCAGCAGCTCAGGTGCTAAAGTTTGCCTTGCCTTGGCATAGTGATATTGGCATGGTATACTCTCCAGTCAACTACATTTAATGTCTTTTTCTTAATAAAATTAAAGAGTCCAGTTTTTGAGGTTCTAAATAAACATATCAAGCACAGATTTGTAACTTATCTAGGCAGATTTCCATCACAATTTTGTTTTTTGAACCTCTGGCAGGTTTTTTTATTGCGGTCTGTATTCCTGTTGGACATATTGTCCTCACTTCCTGTCCCAGTGACACTTGGGGCCTTACCATGGCTTTAAATAAAGAAAGGAACCTTATAAAACCGGTGATGTGCTACACTCACAAGTGGGTAGTGGTATCGGCTCTCGGCCTTGAATGAGCCCCTAGGGCATTATCCTGTTTCCATTCGCTGGACTAATGATTTTATTTAGAAATATATGAAGAATGCTGTAGACAAGAAAAACGCAAGCAAAGTTCAAATGAGCGCTTTTAACCCCAGAACAGGATGTGAAAGGATTTTGGGGAAAAAACTCTGGAAAGAAAATTTTGCCCTAAGAACGGTTTTAATGGAGTTTTAATTTAACAATTGGTACTCAACAAAAACTAGGCTGATCCATCGAATTGCTCCCTAATTATGCAGTAAATCCTAAAGTGGAAGGAAGGAGCCCAGTTTGTGGAGGCTAGTGATATTCAGGCAATTAATACCATAGCAACTAGTGGCATCCCAGAAACTTGAGGGATTGTTGTATCCCTTAATTCATACATGCAGTTTCAGGATACCAGGGTACTCAGTCCATTGCATAAAAGACTAGTAACAAGTATGCAGCGAATGATTTCTCACTTTTCGCGGACTTTCCTGTTCTACTCGTTTATGCCCAATTATTAAAGCTAATGGACATTATAACAGCTACTTGCTTACCTTTTTTCTGGAGGAGGTTATCCATGACAGAGCCCGTATTTCCCTCATAATGGGCTTACTACATGTTTTTGAAACGCCTGCCATAGAATATATTAAGAGTTACAAATACCTGTTGATCTTGGAGAGTTACCTATCAGTTCATATTTCATGTCTTGCATGTTTTCAGATGTTATAGCTTCAATCTTGTGACTACTTTGGTAGTGTATCTGCACAGTTGTAGTCTCCTCAATAGTCACACTTCTTGAGGCTCTACTAGAAGTGGGTTAACACAATTTATCTCAAAGTGGAAGGTCCCATTAAAGAAAAAATCCATTTAGAGTTGAAAGTACAGGTGCAATTTCCAGGTAGTGCCTCCAGATGTCCCCTTTCAAAGGGGTTAAACTTTAGATAATTGGAGCATTCTTTAGGATCCTGTATGTAGAGTCCAAGCTAATGTGACATTACTACTGCTTGCTTTTCACTTGAGGTGAACTATTTCCCTCCTAGTACTGGCAGTGTTTTACTTTCTCCTACTCTTTACAATACCATGTTTATGAAAAGTCAGTGAAGTTCACAGAAGGAGTAAATACTGATGATGTTTCATTGGTTTGCAATGTGTAAAGCCAGGCTCAAGATAAATTGTGTTTTAAGCCCTGGTTCAAACCTAGGCGTATTGCATATGCGCGCCTGTCGCGCGTTTTTTTACCGTGATTCGCGGTAAAAGAATTGCGCGACGAACGCGCGTTTCCGAGGGCTACTTGGCTGTATCCCAATGGAGACGCGCAACAAAAACTGCCCAAAGTAGTACATGTACCTTTTCAGGCGTGGGCCGTTTTGTAGTGCGTTAGGGACGGGCTGAAATACGCCAAGGTGTGAACCAGACCCATTGAATACAATGGGATTTAGATGTTTGAGCTACAAAACGTTCAGGTGTGAACGAGGGCTGAGGTCTAGTTTTTACTCCCTCAACTGCTTCTAATAAGGCCTGCAGTGTGGGAGCCGGGGGGTAAATACAAATTATAACCAGACAAGATACAAGGGCTGCTGTAGTCAAGTATATTCCAGCAAAACTAACATACACTCTACACACATTTTATATCCTGCACCTCTACACAAAGTAACATTTTTGAATGGTTGGTGCACGGTTTTTTTCCATTCCTGTCCATTATGACGTGCATGTGCTAAGCGCTGATTACTGTGACTAGAAACGTGTATGTTTAGTGATGCACCTATTGTATGTGTGTATTAAAAGAGGCATGCACGTACACTGCAAATGTGGATGAAAGAGTCATTATTATGACCATCATTGGACCCCCCATGACTAAATATGCTTTTTTGGGGGGGGGGGGGGTGTCATTTCCTGTTGAAAGCCTCATTGATTATATTTTAAATGGTAAGTCCACCCAGAAGTGATATTTCAGATCTGAATATAATTTAGTAGACTCTCGCTGCCTTTTTATACCTCCTTGGAGGCTCCAGTCGGTGAGATTCCCTCCCGCCATAGATCTTGGTTCCGTTCCTGCCCTTCTCAGAGTTTTACTTGTTCCTACTCCTCCTGCTGTGTTGTCCATTATAAAAATATATTAAGGTATATTTTCATTGATTGGATGCAAAAGAAAATTAGCATTCTCTCAGCAGTCAGTGGGGAGCAATGAAAACAATGGACAGCCGCGGCTTTAATGTTGCATCTGAGATTTGGACAGCTGTACTTCAAAGCCCTCCACATCATTGTGCACGGAACTGTTCAGCTCAGTGCACGCAATTATATCCGTCATATAAAGGCAGCTTGGCTGGGTTCTGAACCTCTTGACTAGTTCCCCCTTTAAGCCGCACTATAAACCGGTCCTAAAAATCCAACCAAAGAAAAGGCCCCAATGGCTGCTACAGGTTTGCTGAACTGGGCCCGAGTAATCTCCATCTGGAGCCACAGAGATGTACTAGAAATTATTAAAGGTCGATTTTTACCTTCAAGCATCTGACAAAAACAGGAATATTTAGTTTTGGATGGAATGACCCTTCTGTGAAAATATTCAAGTGTAAAACATAGACTTTGAGCAGAAAGCCACTGAATTGTATTCCAGTGCTGGGGTAGTTTTTATCTTAACATTAAAGTAAATATTTAAAAAAATTGTTACAGTTCCAGCTTATGGGCACGCTCAGATATTTTGTTATATTTTGACCTGCAACTAATAAGCCAGTTATCAGTAAAATATTCTGCTGCTGATATGTTTTTTTACCATATCCCCTGTATCTGGATTGTCTTGTTAAATGCACCAGCAACAAAAATACAAATTTGGGATATTTCTAGGGTTAAAAAAAAAATAGTTTTGGTATTTGAGACATCGAGTCACTATCCTTTCCTTAACATAAAGCAGTTTGAAGTTCAAACTGCTTGAGCTGATTCCATTTTACATTTAAACGAAGATTAAGATACATTGTGATCTGTACTCCTATAAAGTGAGTGTATAGGCTTGTAAGATTACACTGTACTCGGTAACCTTTATTTAATATCCTTGTGAAGAATGTTTATTTTCCATCATGGACCTAACACACCGCAACCTTCAAAAGATTTGAAATATGTACAGACTAGAGATGGCGGCGTCAAAGGAACCTACTGATGCTAAAGAAAGCTTAGGGCAGGAACAGGCACAGTCACATTGGGCAGATATTCATATTCTTATGATATGGAGAAGGGAGGGAAAGTGGCAGGTAATCTTTGGGTTAAAAAATAGCAATTGTCCCCAAAGATAGATCCTGGCCAATCACTTGAAAACCCTAAGTGTTCTGGTTTTATCATAAATGTTCTAATGATAGATGACTAATTCCTGAACTAATCCTAAGTGGTCAGATCGAGCGAACATTCTTTTCTGTAGGCATCTTTAATTTATTCAAGTCAATGAAAGATTTTTGGCTGCTGTAGATTATTGTGCATTGTATGTCTTTGCACAGTAAAGTCCTGTCATGATGCAACAGGGTTGGGATATATGTATTTCCTAGCAATAAACACTGGCCAAGTATTTGTGTTTTATTCTAATAGAGTGTGAAAAGATTACCAAGACTGGTTCTAAATGTGATTTCATACCTAAAAAAAAAAGGCATGCTGTTAAGTGCTAGGAGAATGGGTTTGAGAATTGCCAAGAGAGTCAACTGCTTTTATTTTTGTAGGTGCCACCAGTGTAAATAGCTGATGGTATAATATACAGCACAATGTACCATCAGCTATAGAAGAATACAAATCCCAGCAATACATTATAGAGCACCATGTGTGGGAAAGTGCAGGCTTACCTGAGCAGTCTTCCAGCAACTTGCTTCTGAGATCGGACCTGTCTATCGGCGGCTGTCATCCCCCCACACCTGCTCCTTCTTACTACTTCTGACCCGCGTCCCTGTGCCAATCGTGGATGTGGGCGGTCTGTGAACGTGAGGCGGGGAGGAGATGGGGCGTGTGGAGCGTGGAATGCGGGTGGATCTGGCAGCGGGGAACGTGTGATGGGGAGGAGGTGCGGCGCGCAGCGTGTGTGGAGCCGTGAACAGGGCCAACCAATCGGAAAGACGATTAATCGATGATTGAAAAAGTTGACAACTTTTTCAATAATTGATTATGTCGATTAATTGTTGCAGCCCTAGTGCGGGCACATTTGATATCACCTGAGGGAGAAGAGGAGTGACCTGGTGTAAGTGCATGCAGGACATGCTCCGTGGGACATAGGAAGAAATAGGAGTTTGTGCTGGATCAGAGAGCTGCACCAGCGCTGAGGGGACTGTTGGAAACGTGTGGAAGGAAGATGATGTTCCATCAAGAGGCATCACATAAGGTAAGTATTTAAAGCAGCATTGAGGAGGGTGGGGGAATGAGCCTTTAATGTTACTTTAAGCTGAGACTGGCTGATGACATCACAGGTGAACTTGGAAATGGAGCACAGGGTGCCTGTCTGGCTACCTACTGTACGTCTCTACAGCTGGACCAAGGCCTATTTTTTTTAGTAAGGCAACTACACTTTTTAATTGCCGTTCTGATTGTACCTGCTAGGCTCGGTGGCAGATTTAGGCTGCAGCTGTCAAAACTCAGGTTGGGCCATCTTTTATCAGTCCTACTTTTAATTGCAATATTGTCTCTTAGGCAGAAATGTGAAAGTAAAAATACTACACAATTTTCCTTTTCCACAAAGTGAATGTCTCGTCATGCCTAATAACAGATTCCTGTTTGAAGCATGATTGCAGAAAGATTTAAAATGATGACCTTTTCTAATCTACGTGTATGTTCATGATGTGGAGTGGCTGGTAAACTACAGCCATACTCGTGTTCAGGAGAGGGAGAGCCCCTTAAGAGCTCTTCACTGATCAGAGCAGTTGGTCCTAGATGTCTTAGTAATACTTTATAGATCAGAGGTTCTCCTCAGTGGGAGAGCTGCCAGGATATGGCAGAAAACACTGCAACAGCATATAACCTGAGACACATAAGAGCATACCACAGACATAAAATCCTGTGGCCTCCTGCTGTCAGGTTAATACGTTTAAGGTGGCTAAGAGGAAATCGAATTATAGTTTACTAGTGTGTACTTTTTTTATAAGATAGGAATTGGTTAAAACGTTTTGGGGGGAGATTTTCCTTCTCTGAGGGCCAGTTCACACCATATGCAGTTGTGATGCAGTCCGTTTATTTGACTGCTGCAGTCAAAATACATCACAATGCTTTCCTATGGGCTTTCTTGTGCTTAATTCACACTGCAAGAAAGAAAGAAATGGACTGCATCACAACTGCATATGGTATGAACTGACCCTAAGTGTCCCAGATAAACAGGAAGTGAAAATAAATCTCCCTTCTTAGACCATTGTAAACAGAAAAGGTTTTCCCAGATTTCCCATCAATGTTTTCATTGGAACCAGTAACATTTTGAATTTACAAACAGGACAAATCTTTCCAGCAGGCACACAGGCAGCAATAAAAACTCTCTCCAAAATGATTAACACATTTTGACTTTAATGGTTACCCTTTTTTTGGCCTTGAAGGGAAAGGTTGTCATACTAGAGTTTACGTTTTCAGCAGTATTTCAGTATACACATACATTCATCTCAGAACTACCAGCTCACATTCACATCTATGTCCAAACATTTTAATGTTGTGAAAGTGTAAACATATGAATTGCAGAACTGACAGCTTGTGGTTTCACACATGCTTTGTGCATAAACATGATTGCTGCTTCCTTTGCATATGTTTCACTGCCATTCACAAGCTGTTTCACCAATGTACTTTGACTACAGTGGCCGTGTAACCTTAAATATCCATTTTTATACTCTTGCTCAATTTAAATGTTAGAATAACATAGCCAGTTCTAGATGTGCATTTGTTTTATAAAGAGTATGTAGTCACAGCATAGCATAGGTTGCTGCTTACACCATTGAACATCACCTGTAGTAACCCACTGTGGAGCCCTGGTTGGACACTGCATGCTGCTCCTGAAAAGGAGAACTGGACTAACTACACTACACTTCTCTATTCATTGGTGAAGTTGGTTTGTGTGTTGCTCTTTGGTAACCACTCTGTGTATTTGCTGCCCTCATTTAATGCTGCTCAGACTGTCATTGGAGCTTATGACTATCCTTTGTCGCTGCGAGAATATTGAGACATCGGAGGGGGTCCCTCTGTACGTAACGGGGGTTGCACAGGTAATCAACTTCCAGCTTCCTAACTCTGCTCTTCGTTTCCTTTTTTGTTTCATTATAAGCAGCTACGCCGGCAAGAGGACCCTCCATTAACAATAATAACCATATATTTCTACGTCTTCCAGACTTAATCTTTGGACTTTCCTTCCTATGCATTCTATCCCCTTTTCCTGTGTGTCCAGCAGTCACCTTTTGGATGTAATGTGAAGCTCTTATAAAGTTTGCAAAGCTGATTGTAATCCTCAAAGTTACACAATCAAAGTTTCTTGAAGTTATTAGAGCCTTGAAGTGTAGCAAATAACAATGCACATGTTGTTGCAGTCTTCAGTAACTGATCAAGTTGTCTTGGATTGTACTGATTTTCAAACCTTAGTGATGCACTCTTCAAGTGAAGTGGACTATTCACCCTCCAGCACTTGTCAGTAAATAGTTTTTCCTCTAATGCATATTATTGGTAACAAATAACACCCTCAAGGGGTGAAATAAAGGAGCTGTTGCAGCACTAGTATTTTCCACCACAAGATGTCCCTAATCTTAATCTTCCAGGTTTAATGACAGCCAGTATGATTCAACCAGCCTGTGACTCGACCGTGAAGAAGCAGCACAGTGATGAGCTTCTTTCTGTCATTCTGAGTTCCCCTCCTATTTGCATGCTCCCTGTCAGCACATGAATTGATTGGCACCTTGTGCTGCTGCTTCCTATTGCACTGAGTTCAGCCCCACAGGGAGTGCTAGAAGCTGATAATAGGTCAAATTCAGGTACTTGAACTGCTTCTTTTCAAAGAAAATACAATTTGTTGTGTACTTATGATTACAGAGCTGCATTAATTAGTTTTTTTTAAATATGTGGCTTTAATTGAACTTTTGGCTACCACAGGACATTTCTTAGTTGGTTAGTCTAGAAAACTTGCTATGATCTCTGTTGTCCTTTCCGTGATATGCTGACACCTCTCTCTGTTTGCTGATATTGTCCCCTTCCCTCCTCATAACTAGGGAAACTTAGTTTTATGGCACTGGCTTCTGTCCTTTTAGCCTGCAGTTATTTAGAGCAGTTAGATTACACCTTCACTTTGATCTTCTGATGGCAGCTAAAAGGTTCATGAGCTGTGCTTGGATTTCTCAAACCACTTGCAAGCATGGAGCAATACTTGGCTACATTTTGAGTTGCCATACATGGGGATGTGGGTTTGTGCATTTGTTACAATTTTGAGACTTCTAGCTTTCATAAGCCACATTTGTTGCTGGATGTGGATGGGCAGCTTTCAGTCACTTATATCTGACTAGCACAGACGTTCATTGCCTCATAGCTTAAAATTAGGGATGCACCGATACTGGTTTTTCAGTATCGAGTAAGAGTACCAATATTTTTTTCGGTACCCGCCCGGCTTCCTGATTGTCTGGGAACCTGGTGTGCTGTCGAAAGTACACCAAGCTTCATGCTCCCTCGTGACACTGTCAGTTAGCTTGGCTTACTGACCAATCAGGAAGCATGGTGGCGGGTCATGACCTGCTGCCCATCTTCCTGATTAGCCAGGCTGCCTCGAAGTGTCCTAGCCAAGCCGGGAAGCGGGTCATGACGTGCCACCCGGCTTCCCGATTGGTTAGGAATCCAGGCTGCCTAGCGACAAGTGAAGCAAGCTTCCTAGCAAATCAGGAAGGCGGATCATGGCGTGCCGTTTGGCATCCTGATTGGCCACGAAGCCAGGCTTCCTAGCCTGATTGGCCAGGAAGCTGGCTCCATGCTCCCTCGTGGCAATGACAGTCAGAGGGAATCTCCCTCTGACCGGAAGTTCCAGGATCGGAGGTAAGTATTGGAGCATTTGGCTGCGTATGAGTACTCGCCTAAATACTCCCTATCAGTACCGATACCAGTATCGGTATCACTGCATTCCTACCTAAAAGGCATAGAAGATACACGTTTAGGTGCAGTTATACTTACTTTTTTTTAAGCACCCAGCCTTCCCTGCCAGTCTTATACACGCTGTGAAGAATGTCCGAAAACCTGCAGACTACCAAAAGCCTTGGTTGTCATAGAAAAGACACCCATTAATTCACATAGATCCTGGATAGTCACCTCTCTACATTCACAAAGTTTGGTTTGTAGCTTTAAGAGGCGGCAACAAGTATTTCAAATAATTTGCGTCCCCAAATTATGTTTTTGGCTTAAGCTTGGACACCATTAATTATGCGATGGACCTATTTGTTGCAGCTCTAGGGGTAAAAATCTTTCTTGCCATCTTGAAATGTCTCTCATTTTACCCTAACACTGCATTTGATGAAGAAACAAAAGTTGTTTTTCTCCTCTTTACAGGTGATTCACTTTAAAATTATCTTCATGTTTGGTGCTGGTGCATTTAAACCCCAAAAAGAGAAAATACATTTGTGGCTGATAACACAAAATCTGAGCTGAGCATTGCGTACAATGTGACTGTGGGCTAGAAGGGGAAGAGATGTATAGGAAGTGTAAAGTTATTGATGACAAACTGGAAAATCTGCAAATTTTTTACCTTTTTGACAGGATTTCCCTAGAGATAATGACGTTACAGCCCACGTGCGAGGACGTAGAGACGGCTGAGGGTGTAGCTTTAACCGTCACGGGTGTGGCGCAGGTACTGTAAAAGCTGATCATTTTGGAAATGCATGTCTTCAGGAATGGATGCCATCAGTGCCAAGCCAAGTCGGCACTGCAGGTTGCATAGTAAACCTGTTACAGAAATCGTTTTGGGAATGACTGTTATTCTAATGAACACTGTAAATTATATATTTGAACCTTTGCGCTGTTTTAAATGTCATTTTAAAATTGCTTCATCTTCAACCTGTCAGTGGTTATGGTATATAAATATTGGTTGTTACTGGACAGCATCTACATGCCTTGAGACCCTAGATTGTAGGAATAAGCTAAATGTACATCTGAAGCTGAAATATTATCCTCTGGAAAGTGCATTCCTCTGACCTCTATATCTGCAGGCACTGTGGAAAAGTTTTTATCCTCAAATGTTACAGAAGAAGTAGCTCTCTCGGCTTCCCCTCCCACAGGTCCTGCTCTGTGTTTCCAGTAGAGATTAGAAGGCTGCTGAGCCACTCCACAGTGCCTTCAACTGCAGAGGTCAGTGAGGGCATTTCTTAAACCTCTACTGCTTGTTAACATGTAAATCATTGGATGTCCAAAACATTAACAAAGATTTACTTTGTTTCCCAGAAAAAGGACTTTGATCATTATATGATCCAGACAATGGCGTTCACGGGTGCAATTTAATGACTATCATATAAAATAGAGCAAAAGTTAACCCTTTCTGGCTCATTCTGAGTCCTAAAAAGAAAATAAAGGAGAAATAAACTGTCCTTTTAAAAAATAGAAAACAGACGGGACAGCTTCAGCTTTTATGAATTTAAAGTAAAACAATAAGAGATGCAAGTGAGCAATAGGGTCAGCTCAAATAGACTATAAAAAACATAGTTGTTACGGAAAGTAAGAAAAACTCAAAACAATTCTACAAATATATCAACAGTAAAAAAGTAAGGACAGAACACATAGGCCCCATGAAGGACAAATAAGGGCATTTGGTCACAAACATCATTTTATATGCATGAAAAAGAGGGGTTTAATAGACAAAATAGTAGTGCCAGTAGAAGAGAAGTGCCCCTCTGGTTGTCATAAATAGGGGTCCAAAAAGGATTAGAAAAGCTTAATGTAAATATATATTTTTTAAATTAGTTTATTAACTGACATATCCGACAGTACAAAGTTATAGCAACGAGCATTGATACATATGTTACAAACAACAACATGTGATCACATTGGGGTCAGGCATTGTACAGAGAAATTCCATTGTCAATGGCATACAGATCAAAGACCATTTGTATAACAACAGTCAAAACATTTCAACTGTGATGTCTAACAGCCTCTGGCGTGTGTGTAGTTTGAAATAAAAATAAAACTAATCTACAATCTAGCCGGCTGTGGTATGTGTCAGTATTAACAATATATGACCTCTGGGAGAGCATCACGAGCCCCTTAGAACCATTATTGTGAAGCCATTCTAGTAGGAGCACACACTCCGCTTCTCCCTAGACATGGTTGCAGGCGCAAGTAGCAAATGAGTGAAGAGGAAGAACAGAAAAAGCAACAGAGGACCAGCGTCCTAGAGCATAAGGGAAGAAATAGAGGAAGAATAGGGTCCCGAATCGCCTCCCTGCGCTCCCTTCTTAGCGGTTCTAACCTCATCCGACCTCTAGGTGGTGGGGCGCTTAGCTGAATGGAGCCTTTCAGAAGGCGTGTCCCAGGCAGGCAGGCAGGCACGGCCAAAGGGTTCAGTGCCTCAGGGTCCCCCTGCCAGGAGATCCGCAGATTTAGTTGAGTGTTGGAAGTAAATCCAGGGTCCCCAGGTTGTCAAGAGTCCCTTCAGTGTTCCTAAGGGACGCTGTCAAGTCCTCCATGGCATACACCTCCCGTACTTTGGAGAGCCATAATGAGATGGAGGGTGGATTTGTTTGTTTCCATAACAGGGGGATGGAGGCTCTCGCTGCATCCAAGAGGTGGCATGTGAGTGATTGCCGATATTTCGAGAGTGGGGTGGCAGACACGCTGCTGGGTTATTCCTCAAATCCACCATGGCCAGGTCCTGGATGACAGACAACACCTGCTCCCAGAAGGGTCTCAGTCTTGGGCAGGACCAAAAGATATGGAGCATTGTACCAGAATCTAATGTAAATATATTGCCAGAATCTGAGGGCTTACACCTGTGCGTCCTCAGGGAGCTTAGATCAGTGATAGCCAAGCTTCCATTCCTGATTTTTTTTATTTAGATACTTTGCTGGATAGGCACCAAGTGGTTGGTATAAAGCAAATGTGGTACCAATATTCAAAAAGGTGGTGTAGATGTAGGCTAGCAAAAATTACAGACCAGTCCACCTAAAATCAATGATGTGAGGGAATGCTAAGGGACCATATTGAAAAATGTGTCGGAGAAAATGGTATTATAAGTAGACATGTGCACCGTCAAAAAATTTGTTTCGATTCGGATTTTCCGTTATTTCTTTTTATGGGATTCGGGTCGGATTCGGCCGAAATTTGTTAGCGGTAGTCTGTGCGAATTATCGCTTCGTTCGTTCGTTGCAGAAAAGTGACATTTGAGGGGGGAAAAAAATGTTTTCAGTCTGCTGAAGAGGGGGAAAAAAAGCGTGAGGTTCTCCCCCAATTAATACCAGACCCTTTAGGTCTGGTAGGAATTTTAAGGGGGAACCCCAGCCCCCAGAAATGTAAAGTAAGTAAATAAACAAACCACACTTTTAGAAAAAATCCTTTAATTGGAAAAAAAAACAGTCAATTTTTGACTATTCCTTTTTAATTTAAAAAAAAAATGGCTCCATCGTTGTAATCCAGCGTCAATCACGATGCACGTCGCCTGCCGACCCGCCGAAATTTAAAAAAAAGTCCCGCCACGCAACCGTCCGAACCCAACAAAAACTCACTGCAAAATGACATCTCCTCCCCGAAAGTAAACAGATGGGCGGAGTGAGCCGTGGTGCCACAGCTCGCTCCGCCCATTTTTACATCGTTGCATAGTTAGTCAGGTTGAAAAAAGACACAAGTCCATCGAGTCCAACCCATTTGACATTCTCACATAGCATGCTATTCGTGATCTCTCGAATGCCATTTGGGTCTGTGAGCACAGGTGTCATTATACTATTCATATGCAACGAACAAACAAAACGATAATTCGTACAGACTACCACTGACTAATTTCGGAAAGTCGGATTCGTTTGCATTCGTTATATCTGTAATTCGGATACATCCGAATTTCCGAATTTTGATTCAAAACGAATCGCACATGTCTAATTATAAGTAACAACCGACATGGATTTTTGAGAGTCCGCTCTTTTCAGGCCAACGTGATGGGGAAGTAAGCAGTTGCTTGGGTAGAAGTAAGGCAGTGGACATAGTTTATCTGGATTTTGCAAAAGCATTTGACACTGTAGCTTAATTGGCAAACTGGCTTTAGGAACAGGTACGGAGAGTAGTTGCAAGTGATTCTGCCTCTGAGTGGTCTGGGGTTGAGTGGTGTGCCCTAGGGTTCTGCGGGGCCAATGTTGTTTAACCTTGCTCTAAATGACAATGAGGTTGGAATTAAGAGTTAAATGTTGGTATTTCTTGATACCAAATTATGCAAGGAAATAGTTTCAGCACAGGATATAATCACACTACAGGAAGAGCTTTAGTAAATGGGTAGCTACTTGGCAGATGAGGTTCAATATTTAAAAAATGTAAATTTTTGCATTTGGATACTAAAACTTTTCATGCAAAATACTCAAAAGGTTGTACATTGGGGAAATCAGTGATGGAAAAATATTTGGGGGGTCCTTGTAGACAACAGACTTGGCAGTAGTTTTCATTGCCAGTGAGCAGAAAACTTGTGTATTAAAAAGGTTGTTTGGTTTTTTTGGAGGGATGCATCAATAAACAAAGCACTGGTGTGACCTCATCTTGAGCATGCAGTACATTTCTGGCCACCAATCAACAAGAAGGTTGTTCCTAAATTAGAAGGACTTCAGTGAAGGGCAGCAAAATATAATAATATGGGGGGCTTGAGGACCTCAACTATTAGGAACAATTAAGTAAATAAGAGGTGTCTAAGAGGACTTGCTTTCAACAAATTAAGAGGAAAGTAGTGATGGTAACAAATAGTTCAATCCAAGGTCCCTGATGAGGACACGAGGTCACATTTGAGGTTGAGGAAAGGTTTAATATGCACAGTTAGTTGCACAGGGTTTTTTTTTTACGGTTAGAGCAGCAAATTTGGAACTTCTTCCCCAGGTAGTGGTATCATCTGAAAGTGTTGACAACTACTACCGTGTTTCCCCGAAAATAAGACACTGTCTTATATTTATTGGGCTCAAAAAACACACTAGGTCTTATTTTCGGGGTAGGTCTTATTTTTTTAACGTACAACAATCCAAAGTTAATGCAAATCCAAGTTAAATCCAAAATGTCAAAGTTAAGAATAGGGTGATCAGGGCAGCCGTACCTTTCCAGGAGCAATTTGGTAACCAGAATGAGCGAAGCGCACTTTCACTATCGATTCCTCACAGGCAGAGTGCATTTGGTATCACTCTGCCTGTGACAGGAGCCGTTCCCTCCGCTGCCGCCTTGCTTCCTCTAGCGGTGGCTTCGTTGGCACCGCTGATTCTCTCCTGCGGCTCTACAAGTTCCCCTTTATGCCACCACCGGCCCTGGGAATGGCCACAACTAGGTCTTATATTCGGGGTAGGTCTTATATTTTAGCAATTCCCAAAAATAGTACTAGGTCTTATTTTCGGGGAAACACGGTATGTAACTTTGTTACTATGTGACTGATGGCTCAGGCCTGATTTTTCTGGCCAGTGGCTATTGTTCTGGATTGTATTAAGTTCCAAATAGAATTTGCCCAGTTAGAAATGATATTGTGATAGACTGACAGTAACAATTGAAGAAACCTTAGCTGTAAATATTCATCCATTTCTGTAACGTGAGGCAAATCTTATGTGGAGGCAGCAATTGTGTCACAGGTAAAGTGAAATGAATGTAGCATGGGTCACTCCATTTTCAGCCTCATACCGATTTTGACTGTATCACAATATCTTCCATTAAACAGTGTCTCCATAAACTGTGTACATTTTTCTTTAATCTGTGAGGCCGCTCGTTGGTTTAATGCAGTTACAGAAAAGATCACAGTGCAACACAGGAGAAATATAAATCACATAACAGAAGGAAACTAATTTTATCTTATGGAGAATACATTAGAGAATTACTGCAGCCAGCCTTCTGTATTAGCTGCAGATTTAATCACTGTGTGCCATTTATTTTTGTGTTGATGCATTAGGAGAATGTCATCTACATTATAGCTTTTCTGATTTACTGCCTACATGAACAGCAAAATTATGTCTTGGAAGACTGAAATAACATAAGGCAAAACTTTTTTTTTCTCCCTGCAAAAAGCTAAATACACATTTGAAATATAACGCTGCCATAGGATTTGTAATTGTTTGCAAGTGTTGAGAATCTGCAAGGTTACCATGATTTCAGCTATCCATTTTTCATTGTGAGCCTGCTCATTGCACATTGAATTAGCCATGTGATTCTGCTGATTCACTGTGCATTGAAAAGGTGGGGCAGCGAGGTGACACAGGAAGCTTTAAAGCTTAACCAGGAAATGGTTTCCAACTGGCTGTGCAATGTGGCAAAATTGTGTAATCCGAAGACTTGCCGAACTGCAAAACCTTTGTCAGGTGAAACTGTTCATGCCACATTACGTTATCCTGATGCAGCCTAAAAAGTGCCGAAGGTAAAAATAGTGCTGTGGGGCAGCCACTTTTGGCCAGGTCAGGATTATAAAATGTGACTGAAAGTTTAGTCAACTCTATTCATGAATGTCTTATTTTGTACTTTAATGTAGTATTTCATGTCCTTAATGGGGTTGTGCAGGCAAAAATGAACAGGAGACTAACAAGTGTCAACATGCCATGTTCCTATATGCCTTCTGAAAAAAATCACAAGATTAAAATGGTATTTTAAACCTGTCACAAACCCTTAAAGAATTAAAAGTTAACCCAAATGTTTAGTTTAAATGTCCCCCAGAGGTTTAGGGCATAATTTAAAAAAACATGAAATTCCTCTATTAATGGGATCTCTGTTTTGCTAGTTGTTCCATCCATCTCTGTAGGCCAGGAATCCACAGAACCAACTTTTTTTGACTTGAGAAAAAGACAATAGAATTCCGTCATTTTAAAATCCATGGTTTCCCAGCACAGGGAGGTCTTTTTTCTTGGCTGAAGACCGGCCTTTCAGGTGCGTAGAATGGTAGCAGAATAAAAAATCGGACACTAGAACGGCAGCAGAACGAGAAGTTAGAGCCGACAGCTGGACAATAATCTCCCACTGAAGATTTTTTTTCTTTCTTTACAACTGGTATCACTGAAACAGGAAAGCCCCTAAGTTTTTTAAATGACTATTTCCTCACACCTGTTTTTCTTGGCTCCTTTTCCCCTTGTGTTGATGGTTTGTGCTCATCATTGCTAGATGTTCTGGGAGTACTCCAAGCCAAACACAACATTATAGAACAAATGGGGCCAAGATTACATTTGTTAAAAAAAGCTTAAAATATACCAGGTTACTCTTCATTGCTTGCACAGTAAATAAAGACAGTCTATTGGTTAAAAAAAATGTCAGATTGCCAAGCATCCTTAAATCCATACACACTAAAAATGATGAGGTGGTTTATATTTTGCTCAGCATATGTAGGAGCCGCACCTGTGACAAGTCCTAAATCTGGCAATTCCTACACCAGTGTTTAAAACAAAGCTTAGAAGTGGCATTGATTTTTATGTGAGTGTCTCAATCTGTTCCAAATAAACCCATGTTGCACTTTGCATAGACAGTTCCAAAAATAAATAAATAAATATACACAGTATATTGTCAGTTTATTACTTTTATCTGGCATATCGTATACTGAAAACCGTTTAAACAATTGTGTTTTTTTCCCCAAGGTGAAAATCATGACTGAGAGAGAGCTCCTGGCTGTGGCATGTGAGCAGTTTCTTGGGAAAAACGCCCATGAGATAAAGAATGTCGTCCTTCAAACCCTGGAGGGTCACTTGCGATCTATTCTCGGTACAAAATACAGATGGTTTTACTTGCTTTATAATACATTCTCCTTTTTATGCTTTGATCCTCAGAAGACAAAATCAACTAATGCAGTGTTTCAAACTTTTTACTATAGCTGTAGAAATATCTTTATTGTTATGTTTCAGTTGATGAGGGTGCTCTCCGCACACCCTACAGCAATCCCGGCCAGTAAGAATGATGGTGCTTGTAGTGACTACCACGGATGGCACCGTGCAAAGTACGAAATGAAAAAGCAGGTCACCAGCACTCAAATTATTTAAATAGATATGTCCTTTTTAATGGACAATTGACATACGTGACATCATTGTCCATTAAAAAGGACATATCTATTTAAATAATTTGAGTGCTGGTGACCTGCTTTTTCATTTATTGCTATGTAACATGCAGTAAGCAAATCATGTTTTGGTACACAGGGAGACCGGTGTCTATTTGCATTTTGTACACCCTTGATTTGTGGAGTTGCTGAATAAGTCTGATTCTGCACATATTCTATGCTAAGTTTATTATTGTTTTCATACTGGATTTAAATTGACCAAAATAGGCTTTTTGTATTCTTCGTAACTTTAACACAATTGAGCTTTTCAGCATCAAAGAGATAAAGAATCTCTATAGGATAATTGGACTTTAATATTTTATTTAAATTGTATGTCCAAGCATTACCAACATTACCTCAATTTACCCCTAAACCCCCCTCCCCCATTTCAGATCATGTCCAAGCATTTTTACACTTGTTCCTGTAGCAAGAAAAAGCTTTTATTATTCACTGTGATGTCATCAGCAGGCTTGTAAAATCCTTGCAGGGGCCACTGTTGGGATCTCTTTTCCTGTTGCATGCCTCCAGAGCTACATCTGCTAAAAGCCCTTTCCTTGCTAAAAGGATGTAAACAGGCTCTTGGTCCCCATCATTCCGAAACCAGATTAAGATCCCTTGCAGCTAGCTTTTGACTGAGTTCTCTCCTCAATGTAGATCTTAAATCATTTTCCAACATTTTTGTTTACCGTCTGCTGAAGGGATAGTACTACCAATGTCATTGACCTGATACACTCTGCCAGGTTAAGGTCCCTGCTGTTGATGATTTTAACTACATGCAGAGAAGGCCCTCGACCGTGGTAGACTGCCAATTTTTAGGTCTATTCCAACTTACCTAGGACTTGATTCCCATATAAAGTCCTGGATTTCGGCTTTATACTCTCGACCGTAGGCTGTTGTTTATATCAACAAGACATGTTCCACTTACATTCCGTTGTCTAATGGCACACGTCAAGGATGCCCTTTGTCTTGTCTGTCAATTGGAGTAAATCCCAATACCTCCCCTTGGACCCGTTGGACCATGCTTCGATTGTATCTACTACACAGTTGCAACATGTTGCCAGGTTTAAGTACTGTTTCCAACTCTTTCTTGTTGTGTACCCGTAATATGCAAAATGAATAAAAAGATTTTTCCAAGGATGCCCTTTGTCTCCGCTGTTTGTGTTGACTTCAGAGTCCTTCTTCTGTAGAGTAAGGGCTGCTCCTGACATCCAAAGTCTAGTGTTCTCTGGTAGGCATCAAAAGGTAGTGGCCAATGCAGATGACCTCCTTTTTTTTCTTTTTCATACTCTAACAGAATTGCCCACCTTACTGTCCCTTTGGAGCTATCTCCAGCTTCAAGATTACCTTTGACATATACGAAGCACTCAATGTTTCTTTGCCCCTGGAGGTAGTGTCAGTCCTGAAGTTCAGATTTCCGTTTCCATGGGTTTATCAAGCCTTAAGATATTTGGGCACATTACTCTGGACTCGGTGAACTTGTATGTAACAAATGTATGTCCATTGCTATCCAACATCCGTACTAACCTCCAATGTTGACTTACCTTGACTTGATTCGCTAGGAGTAATGCCTTTAAAATGACCATGCTACCTCAGATATTATATCTAATACAAGTGCTCCCTATTTATGTCCCGCCGACCTTTTTTTTTTTTTCTTCTCATCTCTGGTCTATGCTCCTTATATTTATGTGGCATGTCAAACCTCCTCACAAAGGCTTTTTTAGCTGCTGACCCTTTCCAAACAGCATGGTGACATTGGACCTCTGGATCTTTCTAAATACTATAAAGCCTTACATCTTTCCCAGGTAGTTAGCTTGTGTCTGCAGACATGGATTAAACCTTGGGTTCTGCTAGAACTGTAAGGCGCCCCAGTTGCTTTTATCATCTTCCTTAGCTCTCTTCTTGCCATTCTAAAGCCCTTCGGTCCCATCTGACCATTAGAGCGACCCTCTGGTTTGTTTCCCCAGACCTTTTACCTTGACTCCGATTTTGCCTCATCCTTCACCATTGACTCCAGTGGTGGGTGACCTGGACTTCCTGGAAGGATTGGATAACAAGAATTTCAGGAGACTTTTGGACTCTGGGAAATATAGCCTTTTCCAATTTCTGACTTCTATGGGGTAGTTAAAACAGGACTCAATTCAAGCCCTGCTTTCCCCTCCTAGGCTCCTGGGCTACTCTCCAGTTAAGACATTTCCTGAGGGCCATTCCAAAACAAGAATTATTGACCAAAGCGGTCACACCTTTTGAAGGACTTGTGTAGGGACTCCTCTGCTGCATTACATATGCTGTCCTATTTGTACAGACTTTTAATCTCTCCTCCTGAGAGATTTGTTTCCCCTTATTTTCGTAAATGGGAAGAGGAACTGTGTAGATCCCTCTCTCCTCCACAGAGAGGGCTCTTTTGCTCTCTCTTAAATCTTCAATTGTGAATAACTTCCAAGAAGAAGGTTAGAAAATACTATTGTGCTGGTACTACACCCCTGCATTGCCTAACAGGCTCTTTCCCCAAACATCAGCCTTGTGGTGGCATTGCAACTCTCATAGGGGCACGATGCTGCACATCTTTTGGAAATGTTTTGGGCAGCTGTTCGTAAGCTGATCCTGTACGTTCCCCTGGTCTTGGTGATGACCCGATCTGTTTCCTGCTACATATCGACCAGATCCCACTACGAAGTTACACGTCATCACTTACTGTCCACTTATTTAACACGGCGAGAGCCTGTACCCCGGTGTTGTGTAAGCAATCGCTTGAACCCCTATTATATCTATGGTTCACCAAGATTGGTGTAATCCATCAAATGGAAGACTCGACATCATTGCTCCATTGTAGGAAGGTGGCATTTAGAGAAACTTGGCTTCCTTGGACCACCTTCCCCTGTATCTTGGCTTATGCTAGTACATTGCAAACTGGAGTTCCTCGGTTACCTGACTCATGATCTCTGCATACCTTTTGTCTTGTAGTACTCATGATCTGTATGGGTGTGGTGTTCTCTGCCTGCACCTCCTCGGTTACTCTCTCTGCCCTCCCTTCCACTCTCTTTATTTCCCTGCCTCTTCTTCTCCTTTCTCTTGTTTTTCCTTTTCATCTTCTTATTGTGTATCTCTTGGTGTCTGTCAGGTAGACATTTTGTTCTGTTTGTCATTTACTTTTGATGTCTTAAAAATAATTGGTCATTACCAGTGCAGGCTTCTGTAGACTTGTTACATTTGCTGCTCTTCACATTTGCAGTGCTTTTAGTGTTTGGAATGCACTTACTTTAATTCTGTCTTTGTAAAGTGACTTCATACAGCAAGCTGCTTTTACATGTGGCGTGTTACCATTCTGTACTAGAGTTATTGTTGTTTTTTTCTTTTTCTAATGCCCTAAATAAAGAATATAAACAGGCTCTTGGCAGTCAAGGCAGCAGCACTGCTTTGCTGGGAAAGTCATCAATGTATGCATGTGGTGAGGGGTGGGGGATAGTTACATAGTATTTGAGGTTGAATAAAGACACGGGTCTATCAAGTCCAACCTATAGCGTGTATGCATGTGAATCTACATGTGTATGAGTCCATGTGTCATCTTGTCCTTAAGTGTACCTGTACCCCTGTATGTTATGGTCTCTGAGGAAATCGTCCAAATGCTTTTTGAATGATTCAACACTCTTAGCTTAAATCACTGCTTGTGACAGCGAGTTCCAGACCCTAACCGCTCTTAATGAGAAGAAGCCCCTAAGCCCCTTGTGCTTAAATTTTTTTCTCCACCAATTTTAGGTGGTGGCCTTTAGTCTTTTGTTATGGAGGTTACCGTAAAGAGTTTATTGCTGATGTTGCGATCACCATTGAACATCTTGTACAAGAAAATCATATCCCACCTTTAATCTCCTTCCAGCGTGAACATGTTTACATTTTAGTAACCTTGTCTCATAGCTTTGGTCCTCCATCCCCTTTATGAGTTTGGTTGCCCTCCTCTGGATTCTTTCCAGTTCAAGGACATCCTTTCTGTGGATTGGTGACCAAAACTGGACCGCATACTCCAGATGAGGCCGAACCAGCGATCTATAAAGTGGCACAATTATAGACTTGTCTCTACAGTACATTCCCTTTTTAATACAAGACGCTGCGCGCTTTGTTTACCGCAGCCAGGCATTGCAAGCTTTTATTCAATCTGTGGTCTACAATGACCCCCAAATCTTTTTCCATTTGTGACTTCCCTAGTGGAGTTCCCATTAATGTGTAATCCGCTTGCCTATTTTTTTTTTTTTTTTTTGTTACCCAATGGTATACACCTGGTAATAGCATTATGTAATGTATTCTTAAAACAATCCCACTTCTGGTCAGTGTTTAGTGTGGGAAATAATTTGTCCCATTCGATGTTGCGTACTATCTGGCGCAGCTTATCAAAGTTTGCCTTTCTTAGAGTTTAGAGTTCTTGTCCGACCGGCCCACTTCTCTGTCCTTTACCCAACATTGAAAGTAATCACATTGTGATCACTATTACCCAGTATCTCCCCAATTGCAATATCTTCAACTATCTGCGCTTTATTGGGAATGATTAAATCTAGGATGGCATTTTTCCTAGTTGGAACCTCAACCATCTGATCCATGAAGTTGTCCCGCAACAGGTTCAGAAAAACTCCCGCCTTTGACGAATGGGAGGTTCCATTAGCCCAATTGATGTCCGGATAATTGAAGTCGCCCATCACGACAACATTACATAGGTAGAGTTCAATATTCCAGCAGATAGGGTTGACAACGCTGGTTGGCACACAGTTCAGCAAGGGCACTGAGTTGTCACCCAAAACCGTAAGTCAGGAGCACATAGACAGATCATAAGGTATTTTTATTTTTGGGAAATGTGCATGTATTTGAGAGATATACTGAATGTTTTTTTTTTTTTTTTGTCTGTTTTTTTTTAAAAAACTTACCCTGACTTACACTATTAAATATCTGTTTACTTATGTGCACTGCTGCATGCCACAAAACATCCTGGTTGTGAACTTTTAATACAAAAGCATAGTACTTCTAAAATCATTTTTAGATGAACCTGTGACCACACTATGGACATTTTAAGTATTTGTATATTCTTAACATGCAGTAAATTAGCTTTAAAGTAAGCCCTCACTGCCCTCTATAGCTGCAATCACTGTGGAGCAATGAATCTTCTAATTTCAAAGCAGAAGCACTCACATTGTTCAGGTGCACACTCTCAGCAACTCGGCTCACCCTACTTCCCTTCCCAGAGCTCCTGCATTGAGTTTACATTCGAAATGGGAAGACTGTTGAGTCACTTCTGGGCAGTGAAGCAGGCAGAGCTGAGCTTTCTTAGAACAGGACTTTAGTGCTGCTGTGAAATTTGAGGATTATGAGCTCCACAGTGCCTATAGCTACAGCAGTCCACGAGGGCTTGTTTTAAATACCATTTACTGCTGGTTAAGAATATATAAGTATATAATGAATAGCCTGGCCCCAAGTTACAATTTCAGCATGTGTGCATGATAAAAAAAAAAAACTTTCTGCTGGACCTCCTGTGCTACTTACATGCTAATAGTGCTGCACTATATTTATTATTCTACTGTGTGTAACTGAACTGTAACAGAGAAAGTGCTGACATCAACCTGTGATGGGGCTGTGTAAGTGTCAGGACTGGATGGAGAGAAAAAACAAATATTGCTTTCTTCATTTGACTTTCATTGGTGTCTTTATTTGTAATAAGAAGAAATGTCCACACTAGAAGTGAATAATTGCAAATAAAACATCAATGTGCAAGACAGTTATTCACAGCAGGTTGTAAAAGGAGCGATGTACAAGTCCTTAATGTTCTACAATGGCAGCTCTAGCTTTTAGATGTTTGCTTGGCTTTAAAAGCAAGTGAAAGGTATCTTATGGTAAAGATTTTTGTTTTATAACCTCCTGTGGGTCTGCAAACACTGGAGTCTTACTGTGCAAAATTCATATTTAAGGAGATTTCAGAATAAATGTCTGAAAAAGATATGGCGACATAGTGCCTCTGCTTGTTTGTATGCAGTCCGCATTACATCTCTTTTGTTTCTGTGCTTTAGTGAGGATAATGTAATTGTGTTTTGAGTTCCATTTATAACCAAGGGATTATGTCTGACAAGAATAACAATAAACAGCAGACCAGGTTATGGCGGCTGATACTGGATTTGTTTCGTATGGCTCTGAGAATTGTCAGTGTACCATTGTCTGCTTTGTTGGTACATCCCAGAGCACCATGTTTACAATGCACAGTGAAGATGTAAAGCCTAAGCAAATGGCATTTAACTGTATACTATAAACAATTGCCATTAGTTTTTTTTTTTTTTTTTTTTTATCCTTTTTTTTGCATGTCAGTGCTACTGATCTGCTGCTGCTTATTTGCAGCCAATTTTGTTTACATGCGTGTACTCCAGTGATGGTTGCATAGCATTTCTCAGGGGGTGTTTCCATATGGTTACAACAGCAGGCCATGTAAGTGAAATGTTGAAGCCTACTTTTAGTCTGCATAAGAAGCCTAGTTGACAACACGTGAGAGCAGTTGGAGGACAAGGCAGATTGTTGTCACTCTGAAACAGAAAGTACCTAACAAAGACTTTCATGGAAGAATTACCAGGAATTATTTTAATGAAAACTGCAGATGTCAAAATTATTGAAAATCCATCCTACATTGCCCCTTCTTTGCACCGGAAACCCGGGAAGGTCAGTTGAATGGTGACAGTATCTCTGGCAAGTATGCCCAGTGGCCCACCAACTTCCCCACTATTCACTCAAATTGCCCAGCTCCAGTCAGACTGAAGTTAATGCACTTAGAGATGAGCCTGGGCTTGGTGTGAACACAGTTCATTTGCATTTGCCTAAGCCCGCTCAAACCGTTTTCATATCTTTAAGGTAAAGCCAAATCTGATAAGTCATGTTTGCATTTATTTTATTTTTTTTATTATTATTAACCACCTCCCGTCCGCCAAACGTTCAGAAAAGGCTGGACAGGAGTCTTCTGGGTGCGGGTGGGCGTCTTTAGACCTCCTTCTTGCCCGCGCCCCCTGGCACGCACGAGCGGGAAACCGGACGAATTTTAAACAGCCAGCGATGGCCGTTTACATACAAGCGGTCCACCGCCTGTAAAGACGCCTGATCGCTTGTATGCTGTGCGCCCCCCTCCTTACCTCTCCTCCTCGTGGTCGCCATCCCCGCGATCCCGGGCGTCCGATCCGGGATGAGCGATGTGGCTCCGTGCACTGAGAACGGAGAGAGAGCAGTACACAATCTCCCTCCGCTATCCTCCCCGGTCCCTGAATGCAGGAAGTGATGTTTAATACATCACTTCCGCATTCCTTTGTCACTCTCCGGTACAGAAACCGGAGAGAAGCTGATGAAGCAGATCTGTGCTTCATCAGCTTCTCTGGGGATCCCTATGTGACATTAGGGGTCTTAGAGACCCCTGATGTCTCCATAAAGGGGACCTGTCACTGTAATTTGATATCACATAGCGGGATTCTTATCCCCCTATGTGATTAACAATAAAGTGAAATGTAAAAAAACAAAAAATTGTTCACAAAATAAATAAAATTTACACGCAAAAACCCCCCCACAAAAATGTCTTAAAGTCCCCCACCCCCACATAGATGCGCCCACACACAAAAATGACAATTGCGCCAATTACGCAGCACTTGTTACATATCACCGCAAACATCAGAGTGAGAGCAATAATTCTAGGGCCATCAATCACTGATAACGCTAAACTGATGAGCGGTAAAATCTTTTAAAGCGTCGCCTACGGCCAATTTTGCGCATGGTAAGTTTTTTTGCAATTTTAAGGGCACGCGCAATTTTAAGGCTTCACATGTTTGGTGTCTATTGAACAGACGTGACCCCCATCTTATATATTTGACAAAAAAATTGGGTATTGATAATTGTTTCCTAACTTAATGTAAAAAAAACAACTTTTTTTTCCCCTCAAAATTTTCAGTAATTTTTCCTTAATATAGTAAAAAATAAAACCCCCAGTGGTGACTAAATACCACCCAAAAAAAAGCTCTATCTTACCCCAAAAAATGGTATAAAAATTAATTTCAGTACAGCGTTGCATGAGGGAATAAATGTCAGTCAAAGTACCGCAGCGCTGAATACTGAAAAATGGCCTGGATGGGAAGGGGTTGTAAACACCGCGGTCAGCAAGCGGTTAATGAGCCCATGTCTCAAGATTCAACCACTGGTGAAGACTAGGTACTTCTCACATTTATCCCTGTGCATTTAGTTATCTCTTCCTAGTTCTAATCATTATATGACTGGTTACACTAGGAAGAACAAAGCAGTCACGGTTAGACGATTGCAGAGTTATATGAATGCATTGTGTATGTTTCAGGCACCTTAACAGTGGAGCAGATCTATCAGGACAGAGATCAATTTGCTAAGCTTGTACGCGAGGTGGCAGCTCCTGATGTCGGTCGTATGGGTATTGAGATCTTGAGCTTCACCATCAAGGTGAGAACTTTTCCATGTATAGTTTCTAAAGTCATGAAGCAAAAAATGTCACTTCTACATAAAGAAATTGACCAATATCAATAAAAAAAAGCAAAACGGGGCATCTAATAAAATACAATGTAACACAGCTGGTCTAGTATTTTTCCCAATGTGTTCATTCCTTATATTTTATCAGCTTACATTCCAGTTCATGAATTGTCTCCTTCCAAATTGTGTGGCTGCAGAACAGTAAAAAAGGTAATGGTCCGTGTAAAAAAAAAAATCATAAAAATAAGCTCTGCCCCCATAGTACCGCCTACTACATGGTGTGTAAATGTAGTTGCTGTTGATGAGAGAGTGGGATGTGTCTTGCCTGTGCTGTCCTTACTCTCAGGGCTTCTGCACAGAATGGCCAGACATTCCCCATTGCCCTACATGGGCTTTTAATAGGGAAACGGCAGTTAAGCTCAGATACAAGGCATTGGTTTCACAGGTAATAAATACACAACGATATAACATAATTGGGGAGCCACGGATCAGCTTTAAATGAAATTGGCAAGTAGGAGACACAGTAGTAAACAAATATATGTGACTCGCTTGTTTATCTTGCACTGCAGTGTAAATTGGTGTGTTCTATGGTCATAAGGTAGATGGCAGGAAAAGGGAACACATTTTGTCTAGCCGCTACAGTAAAATTGCCTTCTCCGGCACAATTATTCTGCATACAGACGAATCTAAATGACCAGAAAGTACCAACTGTCACTGCAAACTGGTTTAACAAAAATCATTCTGCTGTGCAAAAGCCAGATGTGAGATGACATTATAAATGTTGCAATTTGCAGAGGGCGTTTTTCCTGCTATAATTCATCTACTATGAGGCGGTGTGTTCGTTTTTTTGTCTTTACAGGATGTCTATGACAAGGTTGAATACTTGAGCTCCCTGGGCAAGACACAGACAGCTGTTGTGCGAAGAGATGCTGATATTGGTGTTGCTGAAGCTGAAAGAGATGCGGGCATTAGAGTGAGTAGTATGACCATAGAGACATATGTATTGCACGGGTAGGGATTGTACATTGGATTAATATATACCAATTTATTTCTCCTATAGGAAGCCATATGCAAGAGGGAAATGCTGGATGTCAAGTATCTGGCTGATACCAAAATTGCAGATTCCAAGAGAGCGTTTGAACTCCAGAAAGCAGCATTTAACCAGGAAGTGAACACTAAGGTAGGTGGGGAAACTATCCCATTCACTACAATATTTTATTTTTACAGGGGATGCGCCGATACATATACTAGTATCAATGCCGATACCGAGTATTTGGGAAGAGTACTCGTACTCGCCCAAATGTTCCGATACCTTCCCTGATACTGGAACTTACGGTCAGAGGAAGATTTTCGTAGGGGATCTTGGAGCCGGCTTCCCAGGCAATCAGGAAGCAGGGCGGCGAGTAATGATTCGGTTTCCTGATTGGCCAGGAAGCCGGCTCGATGCCAGTTGGCTGGGGAGCCGGCTTTCCAGCCAATCAGGAAGCCGGGCGGCATGTCATTACCCACCGCCCGCCTACCTGATTGCCCGGTAAGCCGGTTCCACGCCAGCGGGAGCACTGGTATCGGTACTCTGTATAGGCAAGTACTGAAAGCAAAATATCGATACTCGATACCGAAAACCCGGTATTGGTGCCTCCCTAATTTTTAAAATTTTTTCTTTCAGAGGTGTTCTTTTATGTCTGTTGCACTCACATCCACTTCTCATTTCTTCTTCAGAAAGCAGAGTCTCAGCTGGCTTACGAATTGCAGGCAGCCAAAGAACAGCAGAAGATTCGCCAGGAAGAGATTGAGATTGAAGTGGTGCAGCGTAAAAAGCAGATTGATATCGAGGAGAAGGAAATTATACGTACTGATAAGGAGCTGATCGCCATGGTCAGGAGACCAGCAGAAGCTGAGTCATACAGGATGCAACAGATTGCTGAAGGACAGAAGTATGTCACCCTTTTCCTTCATTATCTTTCCATCTGTGTTTCTCATAACACTGACTTCAACAGCTCTGTAGATGTGTGCAGTAATAAGTATATAATGCAATATTACTTCTCTTGGTGGCGGAAATGAATGATAAGGTGCTTAGCTGCAAGAATATCACGCTCTGGTAAAGGTCAATGCTGGATTATTACATTATTTATAATAGGCTAAACATATCATTTATATTATCTTTATAATAAAACATTTTCAAAGCTTATATAACCTCAAGAACAAAAATGTAATGTACTGCAGCTTATCAGTCTATAGATGAGGCGGCTGCATTCGTTTTGTTTTTTAGGCTTTTTTTCCTTTAATTACACTAAGTATTCCCTCAAATAACACACATATTACCCTTGGGTCGCTACGCTCACTCTTCCATTGTATCTATGGAGGGAACTGTGCTTTCCACGCAGGCTGCTCAGCTGCTTTGGACTATAAACAGTTCTTCATCTTCATAACATGGGGGAGGAGGGATATGTACTAATAATACAAATTTGTAATTGAAGATCGCTTGGAAAGAGAAAACATTGATGTGACAAGGAAGTAAGGACACTTCTTTTCAGCTAGATCAATGGGTGTTTTCTGTGCTTGCTGAAATGTCATACATACATACATACATACATACATACATACATACATACATACATACATACATGCATAAAAAAAAATTTCTTGGGTGTAGATATGCTTTAACCCCTTCATGACTGAGCTGGTTTTCAGTTTGTGTTCATAAATGACTGACACACTTTTTACATTTTTGCTGTGTGATTCTTCCACGGCTGTAATATACTTTCTTACTAAATGTACCCACACATATTATATATTGGTTTTTA